GGTTCGGAGCAGTGGACCACCACTTGTACCGTATATCTTGTCGGGTGTTTCATAGTGGCTGTCATTTGTGGCACAGTTAGCATCATATTATTAAGCGATACGTCCTACACGTCTGATAGTAAAGTGGTTCACAATCCAGTCCTATATTATAGTATAATCTGTTATCTCATACTCAATGTATTGTTTGTCGTAATTTCCTATCTGTTTGATACACACATTTTCATCACAATCACACAAATGGCAAAAGCAAATGAAGTCTCTTCTGGTATCCTCTCTGACAGTCCTAAATAGCGACACAATATTTATAAAATATTTCTTTAAAACTAACTTTTAATTATAAAAACTAATTATATTAAAACATATGAATTTACATTCTATTAAACATATTATGTGTAATAACTTATTACGAATAAATTATTAGGAATAAAATAAAAACTTTTGAAAAATAACAAAATAATATTTTTCAATTATAGTGTAATGAGTTTTAAGTGCAAAATTATGTAAGAATTTTATTTCATTTACAATCTATAGTGCATATTCTGTATTAGTAATACAGTATTACCAATATATATACTGACTATGAGTACCAATTCAGTACTACAATGGTATAATAACTTGATTATTCAGAATAAAGTCCTTGTGTATCGATACCCAATAAGCTTATGTAGACTTTCATTGATTGTATGAAAGACTATATTAGAGTACTGGAGACCTAAGTAATAAAAATGTTTCGATAATGCAATAAATAAAATCTTATTTCTAATCGCTCACAACCATTACGATTGAAATCCTTGAATTTATGCCAATTTCTGCACTTAATATGTCCTTTCGATTGCACCAAAAGTTTGCCACGAATTACAAGTCATCGTATTTTCTACACATATATTGTCTCCATATAAATATGAGCGCAAAACTCGACAAATGTTTTCTGAAGACAACCCTTCAATAACTCATTGAATTTATAAACCATATCTCACCCAAAATGTCTGTCCGTATATTCGAGGGCACAAATCACGCCAACATTTACGCCCGATTCAGGCCTACCGTTCCCGACGAAGTGATCGCTGAGGTGCTGGACTTCTTGGGCCGAGAACTACCGTCAAACAAATGGGACACCGCTGTGGATGTGGGCTGTGGTAGTGGACAGGGGACCAGGAAGTTGTCCAAACACTTTCAAAACTGTTATGGCTTTGACGTGAGTCGGGCTCAGATTAATGAGGCCTTAGCTAATCAGCACTCGTATAACGTCTACTATGATGTGAGTCAACAAACTATTTATTATTATTTATCAATAATTAAAAACTAATTTTTATTTTTTTATTATTCTATAATAGGTTTCTGTGGCGGAAAGTATGCCTAAAATCTCCACCAATTCCGTGCATTTGGTGACAGCCTTTACAGCCGCCCATTGGTTTAATTTACAAGAATTCTTCGCTGAATGCGATCGTATTCTTGTGAACCACGGAGTGGTAGCCCTCAGCTGTTACCTCCTGCCCGGACCCGAACCCATAAACCCGGAACACCCGGAGGACAGGCGACTCATGCAACTCATGTCCGATAGTTATTACGACAAAAGACTGGCTCCGTATAAGAACCCGAAGATTATTAGCACAGAAATACATTACAACGACTTCCAGTTCCCCACAAACTACCAGTTCGTACACAAAGACAATATAGTGGTGTCAAAGACTACATACGCACAGGAGTTGGTCGGCTATTACCAGTCGTGGTCACTATATCAAGGACTGGTAGCTAACGATAAGCCATTGGCCGATAAATGTCTGCAGGAATTCATTGGGAAATTGAAACATATTTTGAAAACCGATAACTTGGAGACGAAAGAGATTGTCATAAGATTTAATTATTTCATAGCTATGGGTAGGAAATTGAATTAGAAATTCATGTGATCTTATATTTCTAAGTTATACAAAAATAAAACCATAAAAATAATATTATTTTGTAAATGCTTATCTATTTTTGGCACATAAAGTGTATAAAAAAAGTTACTAATGAGTTAAAATGACATTACAGTAATTGTCATGTAGTTGTTATACAATTTGTTTGTGTGCGTAATTATTTCACAATTTAGTGATTATGTTGTTTGAAATTTATTTAACTAAATAAATATTTAGTTACAAAAAAGGAAATAATTTATTTTGCAATAACAATTCTATATTATAACTTAGAATCTATAAACAAATTATAATACCCTGTTTGTCTCTAACATACCATAATATTCAGATAAATAAACAGATAACTAATGACGAAGAGTAATGACACCACCATTTGACACAACATTTTGCGAGTCTATCACTTGTCTGAGACAAGTTGTCTCGCAATTTATCGCAATCTTATCTATAAGTCATACAATCAGACCCTTATATTAAAGCAGCAAAAGCAACTAGATAAAAGTTTATGCAAATTTTTAATACAAAGGTTCAGTCGTCAAGTGATTCTCCAACTAATTCATGAACTAAAAAAACACGGAATAAAAGTAAAAACAAAGTTTTATTTATTTTGTGCAAGTTCATAATACAAATTTTATTTCCTCATTCAGTGTAGCATATGATTGGATAATATGCTAACATGAAAGCACATGATTTAATCAAAGTATTCATAAATCATTTACTGATAGCACTGAATGTGCACTTTGATGGCACCATTGGCCGCACAATTACGGGAGGTTTCAAATGCCTCCAACGCCTCCTCCAGTTTATACGTGTGTGTAATCAATGGCTTTATGTTAATCTTACCGCTCGATACCAGATGTATAGCCATTGGGAAACTAATTAATTAAAAATGTGTTCATTTATTGGAAAGTTACCTCTAATCTGATAGACTATAGGGACAGACCTATTAAGATATCGCATGACTCCCAACAGATTCACTTGACGACAGGCAGCGCTCGATAGGTTAACACTGACTTTCTTGTTGGACACCCCTATCATCACTATATTGGCGCCGCATTTGGACGCAGAGATGGCCAGATTGTAGGACATCTCAGCGCCGCTGCACTCCAGTGACACGTCCGGTGAGTCGCCCAACAGATCCACCACTTGTTGGCACAGACTCTCCACGTCTGCCTTCGTGTCAATCAATACTGTTTTGTCGATTCCTAACTGTTTGGCGAATTGGAGGCGACTTTCGTTTATATCTATTTCGACACAACTTTGTATTAACTATTATTTTCGTATTCAATGCGCTAATTGTATTGAGACCTAAAATGCAGACCACTTCGGCCCCTAAGGCCTTAGCCGAGAGCGCGGCTAACAGTCCAATAGGTCCGGCGCCGGTCACCATAACCTTCTGTCCGCCACCCATTCGTATGCCACCCCTTCGACAGGCATACACAGCCACAGCTAACGGCTCCATAAGAGCCCCCTCGGCCATAGTCATGTTGTCCGCCAGTCTGCCAACCATTTATACAATCATTGATTCAATAAAAAGTTTTTCAATTAAAAAACTATTGATTACTTGTGACAAAAGGCGGCGCTTTGGTTGTAGTAACGTCTGAGAGCGCCTCCAAGGGGTTCGACGCCATAAAACATGACATCCGGACACAGATTATAATTGCCGTCTTTGCAGACCTGACAGTTGAGACACGCGATGCCCGGCTCTACGGCCACCCGATCGCCGACTTTGAAATTCTTGACTTTAGCGCCAACTTTAATGACAGTAGCGCTGCCCTCGTGTCCTAAAACTATCGGATTTTTGACGACCCATTTGTCAATACCCCCGTCTTTCCAGAAGTGGATGTCTGACCCACAGATTCCCACTAATCGCACATTCATAGCAAATAACATTTAATTATATATTTAATTTGCATATTATATGTTTAAATACCTGTGTGTGAAGCCAATTGCACTTCTATTTAAAAAATAGATGTTTTAACATTTATTAAAACTTGAAAATTATCAACAATCAATTGCTTACCATTAGGTGCCGGGTCCCCGGGAAGTTCAGTTACTTCCAATCTTAAGTCATCCTTTTTATGCAATACTAGAGACAAATTATCTAACATTATAATTGATCTAATACTTGAAATAATAATATTAGTTGCAAAGTAAGTAATTTTAATTGTGTTTAAAATATAAATCTAGCAGTTTTTATTTGAATGAAAAATATTATCAGCAAGAAATCATTGCACAAAAAATAATCTTTATAATTCCGTGAGACTATTAAAACATGTTCAAACAAACCACCTGATGTTTTATATAAATCACAATTTATGATAAATGTTTAAATGTTGATTAGAAACTAATTTATATTAATGTCATTGTGGCAATAAGTAATTTATTGTAATTATGCGAATATATATGTTCAAATTAAATTTATAATTGTATTTCAATTTTTAATCTATTAATTCATACTATATTTTATTGTGTTACTTTTGTTTCGTTTATATAAAAATAATAATATCTATAATTATTTATAACATTAATAATAAAATCGCTTTTATAATAATAAAATATTAATAATAAGTATGAAGGCTAACTAATTAATTTATCATTTCTGATTTCGAAATTCTCCTTGATTGTAAAAGTAATTTTATTTAAACATTCACATTTATAGTGGGCAGCACTTTAGGCTCACAAAACCTCTTATCATTCATACAGTGGTTTGCATTTGCAATAAACAAAAAAGTTTCACTTAAATCATACTTCACTGCACTATATATTCTGTACTTTATAACATGCATTGAATTTAAAGTTTAAATTTTAACCCTTTGGTAACTATTTTAAAACAATAAAATTAACTTACATTAAAACTTCAAAACTGAGAATCACAAAATATTAATCCGTGATAAAATCCGTTTAACATAATCCACAAGCTTTTATCTACAAAACAGTGGGATTAGCGGCTAATCTGATCGCATGGAAACTTTTTACCCCAACTTGAGTACAAACACGCAGTTTGTATATAAACTAAATGTTGACTACAAAACACAAAACCAGTGTAATATTAGTGATTATGACAGCAAATACACAGTAAAACAAAAACCAAACCCAACACTTCAATTGTGGGATACATTCACTTTTTAATAGTCGTTATGACAACACATATCTCGCAAACGGACTAAAACCGTAAACATTGGAAACCCAGAGAAGACTGAATACGAGAGTAGAGAAAAAGTTTCGCATATTTTTCGCTGTCAATGCTTTCTGTTGCCGACGATTCGTATAATGAATTCAAAAACCATTTTTAAATTTTGTATATGAAATATATGCCTTAAAATGTGTGTTTCATTCAATTTTGGCTCTAATTAATTGCAGTATTTTAAGTGTCATATGCTTTATGATGGTATATATAGCTTGTATATGAATATTAATAATAATAATTAAGTGGATTATTTAAATTAGTGCTAAAATTTTATAATTTTTAAAAGCGATTACTGAATGAAATGAGTGAATCAGGTATTGATTGAATAAATCTATATTTATTGTTATAGTTTACAATATACCTGTATATGAAAAAGTCATTTCGTTTATTAAATGCATTCAACTAATAGTTTTCTATTAATTTTGCAAGAATTGAATGACCGGAAGGCCGGCCCCCCGGGAACAGCTCCCTGTCCACTGTGTGGCCGATCATTTATGGCCGAAAGGCTTGTATGTATTCATACGTTAATTATATTTTTATTTTTTTATTTATAAAATACTGACAAAAGAAATGCTATTTGACTGTAAGTGTCGTGTTTATTATATCACTTGCAATATCATTCAATAAACTGTCAGTCAATTGATTCATACGTTATTGTGATTTATGACAACTGATAAACAAAACACAAAAAACCGTTTTCAAAGTTTTAAGGTTAAAGTTCGTGTCAACACATGTTATGCAATATACTGTAGATATTTGTTTTTTTAATAACTATTGAATTTTTGTATACCACTAAATTTAAATTGCTTCAAATCTATACAATATAACATTAGTATTTGTTTGTTTAACAATTAGCAAAATTACAAAAAATAAACCTATCCAAAAATCTATACTAAATGAAACGGTAGTAATCCTATCATATAATAAATATATTTGTTTTTAATTGTATTTATTTATTGCGAAATTATTTGCAAATATTGGTGTTTCAGGGATTTTCAATGTCGACAAATTTGTTTGCTTGTGTTTAGTTTCTTAGACTAATAAACTAATTATATTTTACTCATATAAACGTGCACACTACTTTTATCTAGGTAATCCAATAAACTATTGGCAATTATGTTTATTAAATGTGTATTAACAACTTTATTTCATAGGCATTTTAGTTTCTAATTTAGTTATTATGGCGTAAATTATGTGTTATTTATGTGGCTAAATAATTAAGCATGTTACTGGTGAGAAAAAATTACAAAAACTAAAGATTCAATACAATTATTGAAATGTTATTTAATAATAGAAAGTTATTTTTAATATAAATGTTGAGGTTAATAATAAGGTTTTGTTAAACAAAAATATACCTGTGCAAGTTTATTTATAAGAACCAATATCTAGAATATTCTCGTAATGAATTGCTTTTGAGATATTGTTTTTCAAAGGAAATGAATTTGAAATAAAAGTAATTTTGTTATAAATTTCAATATCAAGTGAAACCTATTACCGGTAATATACTGTAGTTTACATTTGATACTCAATAGTTAATAAAACTAATGCATATTCATTTACCCAGTAAATAATAACAAATATTTTAAAGAATATTATATATCAACAAACCATTTAAATTCATAATCACATGCACTACTGACCCCCACCTGCAGTGATTGTCAAATCCCACACCACTATTAAAATCAAAACTTCATAATATAAATTGTTTGTTTACAGATTCTAGTACATTTTGATTGTATGTGAAAATGTAAATCAATAAAATTTAGTGCATTATAGTTCCCACGCAAATATTTTGTAGGCTAGAAAATTATTTTGCATTAAACCGTTTGGTTAGGTTTTCAAGATTTATAAAATAATATAAATCATAATTTATATTTATATCCAGAGATATGAGTGCCTGAATACAATTTGTTTTATAAACAATTAATACTGATACCATAAATAATAATCCGGAATCTGTGAAATTCTGTGACTATTAAATCATAAGAATACTACACTATGGAAATCTG